GCAACTCCATCTGGTTCTTATAGGTGTTCAGGTGGTCCATGGGGTCCCTGGTCCCATCAAAAGCTTCTACCTGTGACATTCTGAATTTCGGCGGGAGGGAGAAATGCAATACCCTAGGAGTAAACAGGGACTCGGTTTGTTGCACCAAGGCGTCCATGGTTATTGGTTTTTTACCCCTCACGGGCTCCTTCATGTGGTTGAGGTCCTGTTGAATATCTTTGAAGTGCTACTCCTAATATTGGTATTTTCGCTCCTACTGGACTAGGCGAAGGTTATTCTTCTCTATCTCATTACTTCAGCTTTGCACCTCTTCATTGTCCACGTTCCTCAGATAAGGTTGGGGAGCCTGGCTATTTTCTCCTCCTTCGTCGACTTCCCGAAATGGGTCAAGAGGTTGTTGTTCCCAATGAGGGGGATCATTCTGGCCTCCTTGGTCTAGTTGTTTCTCCAGTGGTCGTTGTAAAAGCTTCAGGAGTTCTTCATTTTGCTTTAACAAGCGTTGATTGACCAAGCGGAGGGCCTCCAACTCGTTGTTTGTGGGACGATCCACCATAGGAGGATTGACATCGGTGGTTGGGAAGGAGTCTTGTGGATCTTCATGATGTCTACTTGTGTTCTCCTGCTGGTTCTACGTTCGTGGGGGATTCATTTGGCTTATGCTCATGTTGCGGGTTAAGACCATCAGTTACTGAAGGATTAGTGTACTTATAATGAGAACTGTCGTTCCCACAGACGACGTCAAACTGATGGTATATGTTAACGTGTATGAACANGGAGTCTTGTGGATCTTCATGATGTCTACTTGTGTTCTCCTGCTGGTTCTACGTTCGTGGGGGATTCATTTGGCTTATGCTCATGTTGCGGGTTAAGACCATTAGTTACTGAAGGATCAGTGTACTTATAATGAGAACTGTCGTTCCCACAGACGACGTCAAACTGATGGTATATGTTAACGTGTATGAACAGAAGGTTGGAATTGTGCTTTGCAACTTGGGTCTGAGCTACTAGGCTCATAAGGAACGAGATTAATGATTTCAGGGATTGGGGTGATTTACACAGTAAAAATATAGTGGTTCAGCAGCTTAGGAGCTCGGCTAATCTATTTTTTAATGGAGATTCTTGCTCCTTTTATCTTTGTTCATGGAGGATTTGTCTTACAGAATTTTTCCTATGATATCCAGTTTTTTTCTCTCTTTTATTGGAGGTATTATAAAGTATTTATAGAGCTGTTCCTTGATCTGTGGGATCTCGGCAGCCTTCAATCCGTGGATTTCTCCTTGATTTTTGGAGAGTATCTTGGTTGATTGAAGGTTTTGCACCTTGAATATGACTTTTTGCCACTTATAGGGTTCCTGCTAACATCCAGCTATTCCCTTATCATTTCCGTTATTGTCTCGTTTGGGANATTTTTTAATGGAGATTCTTGCTCCTTTTATCTTTGTTCATGGAGGATTTGTCTTATAGAATTTTTCCTATGATATCCAATTTTTTTCTCTCTTTTATTGGAGGTATTATAAAGTATTTATAGAACTGTTCCTTGATCTGTGGGATCTCGGCAGCCTTCAATCTGTGGATTTCTCCTTGATTTTTGGAGAGTATCTTGGTTGATTGAAGGTTTTGCGCCTTGAATATGACTCTTTGCCACTTGTAGGGTTCCTGCTAACATCCAGCTATTCCCTTATCATTTTCGTTATTGTCTCGTTTGGCAGAGCTTTGGCTCTAGTCCTCTGAGCTCTGCATATCTTGTCAGACCTCCTTGCCTGACCTCCTTGTCTGAGTTCATACTTTGGAAATTATTCTATGTATCATCAAAAATAATTAAAATAGATTTATACATATTTTTGTTATTTAATTTTCACTTATTGGAGTTATCATATGTTGGCAACTTTTTTCAAGCTGCCTATGTACCCTTTGTTAAGGGATCAAGTCGCGCATAGTTCTTTGTCATTTTATCGATTAGTCTGTGTTACGCGTTCCAGGTACAATCCGCCCTATCTTTCTCTCAATCGAACCATCGTTTATTTGATTTAAGCAATGTCCTTAGTCATAGAATCTCTTGCTTTAATGTTTTGATATTTGATACACCAGATGATTGGATACTTTATCGTTTTTTTTTATGAGATGGTGATCGAATTTGAGTCTTAACGCTCACTTTTGTTTTTGTTGAATCTGTCACACCACGATTTGTTTAAAAAAAATAAATTAATCTGGCTGGATTAACGAATAATCCATCTATAACACATAATAACCTTCCTTATGCTATTATTAAACCATTAAAATATATCCCGGATAGTGTTATATTTCTTAGCTAATATATACAACATGATCAAAATATGATCAAGTAAAACATTCTGGTAAAGTATAAAAAAATAATATTAGTAGCTCTAGCTACGATCTCTCCAGCTTACTTTTATCGGTTCAGTCTTGCTTCTGAAAAATGTAAATTAGGGTGAGTTCACTAGCCTAGTAGATTAACTTTTATCAATAACTATCAAGGTTTTTTANCGATTTGTTTAAAAAAAATAAATTAATCTGGCTGGATTAACGAATAATCCATCTATAACACATAATAACCTTCCTTATGCTATTATTAAACCATTAAAATATATCCCGGATAGTGTTATATTTCTTAGCTAATATATACAACATGATCAAAATATGATCAAGTAAAACATTCTGGTAAAGTATAAAAAAATAATATTAGTAGCTCTAGCTACGATCTCTCCAGCTTACTTTTATCGGTTCAGTCTTGCTTCTGAAAAATGTAAATTAGGGTGAGTTCACTAGCCTAGTAGATTAACTTTTATCAATAACTATCAAGGTTTAAAAAAAAAAAGTTTTAAAATAATACAAAAATATAATCAAATATCAAATAAACGCAGCAATAGGTCAAATTAACAATCACATGAATGCATAACATATCTACAATCACAATTCGTCAATTTTATGGTCCTCAAATGAACCATATCCGGAGAAAATTTTGGAGTCTTGCACCCTACAGAGCCCAATGTCTTTCTCTCTTTTCGAGGAACACCAATATCAAAAATTTTACGGTGCCACACAAGTTACTAATGACAACTGATATTACTAACCAATGAACTCAAAAACTAATAGGAATTTTGTTCATCAAATGTAAATTCATCAAAAATCATAGTACTTAGTCATATCATATTCATATTCAACANGTCTTGCACCCTACAGAGCCCAATGTCTTTCTCTCTTTTCGAGGAACACCAATATCGAAAATTTTACGGTGCCACACAAGCTACTAATGACAACTGATATTACTAACCAATGAACTCAAAAACTAATAAGAATTTTGTGCATCAAATGTAAATTCATCAAAAATCATAGTACTTAGTCATATCATATTCATATTCAATATCAAGTAAGAAGTCAAACATTAAATAAATACGTCAGAAAAATTCAAATATTTTATATGTCAATTGGTTTCAAAAGATAATTGGAGTTTTGATCCAAAAATATCACATGTCTAGGTCACAATTGTTGGTAAAACTCAAATCCAACCCCGTAGATAATGCAAACTAATATTTAGCATTATATAATTAGCATAGGTTTGATATGGAATTCCGAAATATACATGAAGATGCATCGATTACAATAAAAGATAAAAGAAACCATACATTCGACACTACCTCGAATCGATACCGAGTGTACTGTAGAAAAAACAAAACGAAATAATATTTTAGAATAAAAATAAGAAATAATGACTTAGTTAAACTGAAAATAATTTTTAGAGTAAATAGCAAAAAATAACGATGCTCAAATTTGATCCAAAAATATTTAACCAAGATCAAATATAGGTGATAGTAACCTATAAATTTACTAAATCATAACCCAAAAACTTTACCCAAATTTTTTATCATAAAAACGAACTCCTAAATCGACAAAATTTATACCTACCCTTTTTTTCTCTATCTTTCTTCTTTCCTCTCTTTTCTCTCCTTTCTTACTCTGCGTTTTGCCTTCAGAGAAATGCCAAACTTCCNCAAATATTTTATATGTCAATTGGTTTCAAAAGATAATTGGAGTTTTGATCCAAAAATATCACATGTCTAGGTCACAATTGTTGGTAAAACTCAAATCCAACCCCGTAGATAATGCAAACTAATATTTAGCATTATATAATTAGCATAGGTTTGATATGGAATTCCGAAATATACATGAAGATGCATCGATTACAATAAAAGATAAAAGAAACCATACATTCGACACTACCTCGAATCGATACCGAGTGTACTGTAGAAAAAACAAAACGAAATAATATTTTAGAATAAAAATAAGAAATAATGACTTAGTTAAACTGAAAATAATTTTTAGAGTAAATAGCAAAAAATAACGATGCTCAAATTTGATCCAAAAATATTTAACCAAGATCAAATATAGGTGATAGTAACCTATAAAATTACTAAATCATAACCCAAAAACTTTACCCAAATTTTTTATCATAAAAACGAACTCCTAAATCGACAAAATTTCTACCTACCCTTTTTTCTCTATCTTTCTTCTTTCCTCTCTTTTCTCTCCTTTCTTACTCTGCGTTTTGCCTTCAGAGAAATGCCAAACTTTCTTCCAACGTTACAAGGGTGACAACATTGTGCTTGCAACACAAGCACAATTGTTCATGTTCCATCCATATGTTTTTTCTTTTAAAAAAAAGAACACTTGTCACTTGAACACCTAACCATCCCCCCGGGAGCATTTGTCATTTATCTAGAAGTATAATATATATACTATATGCATATAATATATATATATATAGATATATATTAATTTGAACCGGACCTTTATTAATAATAAAATGTATTTTTATCAGGGGGGACATAATACCTTACCCGAAAAGTGCATTACATAGAATGAAAAACTTTAAAATTGAAAATGGTTCATAATTTAAGACTCTTATGTGATCGGTAAAGACTATGAACAAATTAAGAATTTGTTGGAGTCAAAACAGTTCTCTTCCTCAATTTCCGAATTAGCTATTGATCTTGCAACATCAATAACCGAGCTTGGAATGGAAGCTCATTAGAAGAAATATTCTCCTTGTTTTCTCTCTCTGAAACTCCCTTATTTGCTAAGAAATTTGCAACAGCATTTTCCTCTCTACAGGTATGTATCAGTTGATCTTGACGAGAAGAGCTGCAAATACCAGATGAACAGATTTCCTCCTCTAATTGCTCTGATAACCATCGCTTGACTATATTGAAGTTCCAACTAGAACCTGCAAAACCGCTGAAAGCTTGGGAAAAATAATAGGAGCTCCATCAATCCGAAGCAATAAAGGTCTAGAACCTAACCAATTGTCGCACCAAAAATCAATAGCCTCTGCTGAACCCACCATCATCTGAGAGTTAGAAATAACAACTTCAAACCATGTGGACAAAGATCTAAAGATTCTAGATTTCTAGTGACCTTTACTGAGAAGCATATGCTTATTTCCGAAAAACTTTGTAATAAAAACCTCTGACCATAGAGAAGACCTTGCTAAAATATTCTAAACCTTCTTGATACCATTAGCTTTCTCAATCTCATCAATTTTTTTGATCCCCAAACTCCCCTCTTCTTTTGGAACAGTCAGAGCCTTCCAAGAGATCCAATGTCTTTTCTTCACCGGTGAGTTACTTGACCATATAAACCAGCCATCATAGAGTTCAGTCTGGATTTGATACCTTTAGGTAGATTAATACAAGCCAAAGTATGGATTGGAATAGCATTAAGGACATACTTAACCAAAACCAGTCTTCCCATATTTGATAACATCTTTGCATGTCATCCATCCAATCTGCCTCCAAATTTCTGCACCACATCCTCAAAATGAATCAGCTTTGGTCTACCCTTAATAATCGGACAACCTAGATAAGTAAATGGGCAAACCATAACTGGAATCGTTGCTGTATGTGAAAGAACAGATTTCCTTGCTTGAGATATCCTTGAAGAACAATACGTAGAAATTTTTTGTCTATCACTTTTTGCCCAGGAGAAGCCTCATTTTCTTTTATCAAAGAGAGAAAATTAGCCAAAGATGATTTATTCCCTTTCAAAAATACCAAAGTATCATTTGCAAACAGCAAATGGCTCAAAAGATAAGACCCTCTACCTGTATGGAATCCTTTCACCAACCCCTCTCGATATAACCTTCTCAAACCCCTACTCAAAACCTCCTTAGTAATAATAAACAGGCTTGGGGAGATTGGATCCCCTTGCCTTAATCCGATGGATGTGAGAAAAAAACCATATCTTTGGCCATTGATAATCAAAGATATATTATGATTGTGCAAACAGTTAATAATAATCTTCACAAAACAGCTCAAAGAATGCAATAAAAAGTCTCATTTTAACCTATCATAAGTTTTCATCATATCCAATTTAACCACCAGATTACCAGCACCCACCTTTCTGTCCAACTCGTTCACCATGATATATTACCCATCCATTATAACATTTGGATACTATGACATTTTTATTTCAACATAAAATATAACATATATTATAGTCATTTGACTCATATTCACATCAGAAATCCATATTTGAGGTCCATTTATTTATTTGAAATTCCTAAAAAATTACTCTTTGACACCATAGAATAATAATTGGCATTCTAATTAATGTATTAATGATTAATTTTGATATCAATTGTTACAATCTACCCTCTTAAAAAAATTCATCAATGAAATTCAATACTAACCTCGAGAGTCAAATAGATATGAATATCTTGCATGCATATCTACTTCTAATTCCCATGTGGCTTCCTCAATACCATGATGTTGCTATAGCACTTTTACAAGTGGTATGACCTTATTACATAGTACTTGCTCATTTGTATCGAAAATTTGCACGGGTCACTCTTTGTAAGTTTCATTTTCTTGAATTTGAACATCCTTCTAGTTAAAAATATGCGAACTATCTAGCTCACATTTCCTTAACATGGATACATGGAATACAACATATACCCCTGACAACTAAGTTGGTAAGGCAAGCTGATAAACTACATTTCCAATGCGACGTAATACCTTAAAAGGTCTGATGTATTNATTTGATCCAAAAATATTTAACCAAGATCAAATATAGGTGATAGTAACCTATAAAATTACTAAATCATAACCCAAAAACTTTACCCAAATTTTTTATCATAAAAACGAACTCCTAAATCGACAAAATTTCTACCTACCCTTTTTTCTCTATCTTTCTTCTTTCCTCTCTTTTCTCTCCTTTCTTACTCTGCGTTTTGCCTTCAGAGAAATGCCAAACTTTCTTCCAACGTTACAAGGGTGACAACATTGTGCTTGCAACACAAGCACAATTGTTCATGTTCCATCCATATGTTTTTTCTTTTAAAAAAAAGAACACTTGTCACTTGAACACCTAACCATCCCCCCGGGAGCATTTGTCATTTATCTAGAAGTATAATATATATACTATATGCATATAATATATATATATATAGATATATATTAATTTGAACCGGACCTTTATTAATAATAAAATGTATTTTTATCAGGGGGGACATAATACCTTACCCGAAAAGTGCATTACATAGAATGAAAAACTTTAAAATTGAAAATGGTTCATAATTTAAGACTCTTATGTGATCGGTAAAGACTATGAACAAATTAAGAATTTGTTGGAGTCAAAACAGTTCTCTTCCTCAATTTCCGAATTAGCTATTGATCTTGCAACATCAATAACCGAGCTTGGAATGGAAGCTCATTAGAAGAAATATTCTCCTTGTTTTCTCTCTCTGAAACTCCCTTATTTGCTAAGAAATTTGCAACAGCATTTTCCTCTCTACAGGTATGTATCAGTTGATCTTGACGAGAAGAGCTGCAAATACCAGATGAACAGATTTCCTCCTCTAATTGCTCTGATAACCATCGCTTGACTATATTGAAGTTCCAACTAGAACCTGCAAAACCGCTGAAAGCTTGGGAAAAATAATAGGAGCTCCATCAATCCGAAGCAATAAAGGTCTAGAACCTAACCAATTGTCGCACCAAAAATCAATAGCCTCTGCTGAACCCACCATCATCTGAGAGTTAGAAATAACAACTTCAAACCATGTGGACAAAGATCTAAAGATTCTAGATTTCTAGTGACCTTTACTGAGAAGCATATGCTTATTTCCGAAAAACTTTGTAATAAAAACCTCTGACCATAGAGAAGACCTTGCTAAAATATTCTAAACCTTCTTGATACCATTAGCTTTCTCAATCTCATCAATTTTTTTGATCCCCAAACTCCCCTCTTCTTTTGGAACAGTCAGAGCCTTCCAAGAGATCCAATGTCTTTTCTTCACCGGTGAGTTACTTGACCATATAAAACCAGCCATCATAGAGTTCAGTCTGGATTTGATACCTTTAGGTAGATTAATACAAGCCAAAGTATGGATTGGAATAGCATTAAGGACATACTTAACCAAAACCAGTCTTCCCATATTTGATAACATCTTTGCATGTCATCCATCCAATCTGCCTCCAAATTTCTGCACCACATCCTCAAAATGAATCAGCTTTGGTCTACCCTTAATAATCGGACAACCTAGATAAGTAAATGGGCAAACCATAACTGGAATCGTTGCTGTATGTGAAAGAACAGATTTCCTTGCTTGAGATATCCTTGAAGAACAATACGTAGAAATTTTTTGTCTATCACTTTTTGCCCAGGAGAAGCCTCATTTTCTTTTATCAAAGAAAGAAAATTAGCCAAAGATGATTTATTCCCTTTCAAAAATACCAAAGTATCATTTGCAAACAGCAAATGGCTCAAAAGATAAGACCCTCTACCTGTATGGAATCCTTTCACCAACCCCTCTCGATATAACCTTCTCAAACCCCTACTCAAAACCTCCTTAGTAATAATAAACAGGCTTGGGGAGATTGGATCCCCTTGCCTTAATCCGATGGATGTGAGAAAAAAATCATATCTTTGGCCATTGATAATCAAAGATATATTATGATTGTGCAAACAGTTAATAATAATCTTCACAAAACAGCTCAAAGAATGCAATAAAAAGTCTCATTTTAACCTATCATAAGTTTTCATCATATCCAATTTAACCACCAGATTACCAGCACCCACCTTTCTGTCCAACTCGTTCACCATGATATATTACCCATCCATTATAACATTTGGATACTATGACATTTTTATTTCAACATAAAATATAACATATATTATAGTCATTTGACTCATATTCACATCAGAAATCCATATTTGAGGTCCATTTATTTATTTGAAATTCCTAAAAAATTACTCTTTGACACCATAGAATAATAATTGGCATTCTAATTAATGTATTAATGATTAATTTTGATATCAATTGTTACAATCTACCCTCTTAAAAAAATTCATCAATGAAATTCAATACTAACCTCGAGAGTCAAATAGATATGAATATCTTGCATGCATATCTACTTCTAATTCCCATGTGGCTTCCTCAATACCATGATGTTGCTATAGCACTTTTACAAGTGGTATGACCTTATTACATAGTACTTGCTCATTTGTATCGAAAATTTGCACGGGTCACTCTTTGTAAGTTTCATTTTCTTGAATTTGAACATCCTTCTAGTTAAAAATATGCGAACTATCTAGCTCACATTTCCTTAACATGGATACATGGAATACAACATGTACCCCTGACAACTAAGTTGGTAAGGCAAGCTGATAAACTACATTTCCAATGCGACGTAATACCTTAAAAGGTCTGATGTATTTGAGAGCCAACTTACTTTTTCCCCCCTTCTTCGTTGATCTACATGGCCCTTTTGTCGATTTTAAGTTGTGCATAGCTGATTCCAAATCATTTGAATCTTTTATGTGGTTTCTCTAATAATTTATGGGTCAAACAAACTATTTTCTCCAACCTCGGCCCAACACAGAGGTGATCTACATGGTTGTCCATACAAAGCCTCATAAGGAATCACACCAATGCTGGCTTGATAGCTACTACAGAGGCGTAGGATCTAGTGCGGTGGCTAGTACAAGAGTGGAATAGTCCAAAGCATTTGCTTATGAAAAAATTTGAACCAATTGTGTCATAGATGAGCATTTTTGTCCAACCGCTACATAGACACAATACAATGTCTCACTCATATGTGGCCTTTGAGTTCATTTGCTTTTGGTTTAATATGGTATCGATAACAATATCAATTTTTCCAGTTTGTTGGTCCCTGATTATAAATTCTCGTTGTCCACGACCTATAAGAATCAGGCTATCTGCTA